ATATATATAGCCAGCTGGTCGATCAGAAAAAAACGCGTTCAATTAGCATGGAGCAAAAAAAGCATCCATCAGGTTTAGATGTAACAGAGTCTATCTTCTTCAATTACTCTAAAGTACTTTCATTAAAAAACATTTTGAATTAATGCAGTTACTGATATAACAGTAGTTTGTCTTTATTCAATCGAAGTTAGCCGAGGACATGAAGGGGTAAAACAGGCAACATGAAGACCCACTTCAAGCCACAATTATTTTGAAGTTTTTGAAATTCAATTTGTCAGTGTTCTACCAGGGATGTAAAAGAGGATACATTTATAACGCAATTGTTAAGTTTGATGAAAATTGGTTGAAAGATCAACGAAAAAAAGAAAGAAACCAATAAAAATAGCCATTTTTCGCGATTTACGCGGGTTTTCACTATATGGGTGGACTCAATTATCAAGTTAGATGACTTAAACAATCAACCTATTGTTGGCTATAACTGAGTTTGTATTAGATTGCTTGAAAATTAAGGGAGCTTTTAGTTTTTTTCGTTTTTCACGTCTTCTTTGCTAAATGCAGTGACGTAGAAGTACAAATAAGGTATCGTTGAGTTCGTCATGATGTAAGTAACCTACATACCGAGGTTGAACGAAATCGGAGTAAAAAGTTGAATTTATCGATTTTTGAATTTTTAAAAATATATATCGATTTTTAAGCTAAGAATCTATCGCTTACATTGTAAATTGTATAAGCCAAGTTCGGTTGAAATCAGTTGAATGGATCTCGAGTGAAAAGGTATCACACAGACACACAGGCATCCTCTGTTTTATATATAGATGTATACATGCGTGCGTATCTGTTTCAATTCGATATAATGACTGGTGCGTATGTAGAAATGTGCTGTTCTGTGTGTGGCAAAGGTTATCGACGCGGAAAACGGAATAGTCAAGCTGTTTTCAAACTTCTGTTCTAGGCTGTGGATTCCAGTTTGCTACCAATGAGATTGGGAATGGAATTTATCCATTTTCTTTCCCTTCTGCTGTGGAAAAAATGGCAGTGGTTTTTAGAGTTGGTTGGCAACCAGTCTGGAAGAAGGAACAAAAATTAAAACCCTGGCGATTGCAAAGTCGAAGAAACCATTCAGCTACATTCTCAAGAACAATCATTGTAATGCGCGGTTAGCAGACAACCTATATAAGAAAGCTGTGGAGAGCCGTAATCACTTGCATCCTGATAGTGCATAAAGAATTAAATAATGATAATCTCTCTCTCTCTCTCTCGATATATATATATATATATATATATATATATATATATATATACAGTGTAACCCATTTTATAAGAGAGTTGTCGGGACCGGAGAAGAAGTCTCTTTATATCCGGGTTTGGTCTATTTTATATACATTAACACAGGCTCTAATTTGGGACCAGAGAAAATCTCTCTTATATCCGGGTCTCTTATATCCGGGTTACACTGTATATATATATATTACTTAATATAACATTTATTATAAATATATTTTTATTACTTCAAACCTAATGCATAGTGGATACCCGTGTTGGAAATAGACGCCTCGAGTTTTAATACAGGGTACGATGGATAAATTGTAGTCAAAATTACGCAAAAATGAAAATAACGCTGACATCTCATCTTAACAGATATATTTACCAAAATTACACAAAAATATTTTGAAATACTAAAGAGAAAATTTATTCATTAAAATCGCCATTGCCGTTTTTATTGAATAAATTTTAACCACGCTCTCCAGACAAATTCGGATTCTCCTGCAACTCTTCTTGACGGTCTCCTTGTATAAGTTGGTGAATGCTGTCATAATCCTTGCCTTCAGTTCATCTTTGGTGTTACAAGTTTTATTGGCCTCTCCCTCAACTGTGCCCCGCACAAAATCAAAGGGCTGCCGTCTGGGGAGTTAGGTGGCCAGATGTCAGGGGTGATGCGGTGGCAGAAATTGCCTGACAGCCATGTTTGGGTTCTCCTGCTTGTGTGGCATGGTGTAGAGTCTTGTTGCCAGACATAGCGTCTTTCAGCAGCCACCCTCTTGACCCAGGGCATCACTATCTCATCAAGGCACTAGATGTAGGCCACTGTGTTGAGTCTGAGACCCTCACGAACAATGTCAGGAGTTCTTTTCTTATCAGAATGATCAAAGTGAATTTTTCGAGCTGCTGGACATTCGTAATCACCATTAGACTCATCCAACTCTTTCCGAATCCCCTGCACTGTCCTCAGATTGACATCCAAACACTCTGAAATGTTCGTAATGGTGCTTCCGACGCGAATGCCAAGAAATACAGCATACCGTTCCAAATTTCTGACTGAGTCAGTTGCGTCCTGGTGCTCTTTTTCTCACAGACAGCGCCCAAATAACCGTACTATACTGTGCAGTCTACAAATCAAAAACAAACAACGCGCATGCGCGACATTAAAAATATAAAATGGCGATAGTTTACTCATCGCAGCTTTATTTTAAACGTTGTGTATTACGTCCATTAGTTGGGCACTTGAGAAAACCTAATAAAAAAATGTAGCTCTCTGTAGGGCTCGAACCTGTGTATGGGGCGAAACTATCATTTTCTCCGGCGTGCTTCAGACAGCTCGGCCATAGAGAATACCACTGGAATAAACATTATTATTATTTCGATTTTTCTATCTGCATATTTCCCGAATCATCGACATGGACTCCACACATATAAAAGGAATGAAAATTGCAATAATATACTATGCATGCCAATCTATATTATTAGTATTATTGTTGTTGTTTAAAATTTCGTATATTGCTTAGGAAAAGTGGTCAATATATATCTTTTAAACTGTATGGAGAAAGGGAAACATGCAAGTTGATTCTCAGTTCCGTGCATTTAGCACTCATCAGGATTTGTTGTATGCATCCCGGTCTTTCTATAGGTCGTTTGAGGCTAATGGAAAGACAGAAAGTAGAAAACTGGTTTTCCTAGGTTTTTGTCTAGGACAAATTTTTATAGATTATTTATAGTCCTGACATTGTTTATTTATTTCCAAATTTATTTTAACATATGACATTTTGTTTATGGTTCTTTATATTTTATTTTGTTTATATATTTATTATTTTGTTATATTTATTTTATATTTATGATTTCTGAAAGTGTTTAGCACCTTTTAGGTTATGGCTTAAATAGTTGTTTCCTATTGTTGAATCATGATGTGGTTGTAGGTAGCTTAGTAGAAATTTATTTATTTTTGTGTTTTGATTTTGAAACGAGTCATGGAGTTTATATTGTTTTGAAAATGCTATTATTGCTATTTCTCTTCTAAGTAAATATGTCAGGGTCTTGAATTCTTGTAATGTGGTGCCGTGTTCCTTATTTTCTAAATTATTTTTCGTTTGTTTGGGGTTGTGTTTTTGAGATTCCATGTATGTTTTGAAAGTGTCGTACCTTTGCAATTGCAATAATTTGCTGTTAAATGAGGTTTTGTTTAAGTAGGCTCGTATGATTCCTATATTTTTTTTTCGGGATTTCCTTTGACTCTTACAGAAACTTGTTATATTGCATTGGTTTTCAGTGGATAAATACGCTATTTTAAAAATAGTACTGTTGAATATATTTATTGTTTCTTTGATTTTCTAAAGCGTTCGCCGATGTGTTTGGTGACAATTTTACCTATATTTGTTTTTACTTCTTTATTGGATGGTGGGTCGAATCATATGAGGCTTCTTGCTGCATTTTATTCTTTTGTTGGGTCTGAATGCTAGCTTTGCTAAAAAAAAAAAAAAACTAGTTTAAAGCTGTTTCTTGCAAATTTTACATTCCTAATTTCTTAAGTCCCTCAATCCATCCACGGCAGATTACCCAACAACCGACATCTCATCAAACGAAAATTTCTTCGACGAAGTCAAAAGCGATCATGAAACAACAACTAAAAACATTAGTTTTTCGACAAAACTAATCAGATACAACGAAAATGCAAGAAAAATAAAAGAAATAACAAACTGTTCAACCAACCGGCCATCAAGATCGTCTTGTGTAATTGATTATGATTAGAAAGAACGTTTCACTGGGCCTGAAATCGAGAGGAACGGATATCCAGACATATCTGAAGAACTCGAGAACAGATGTCTTAACAATTTTAGAACACATTGAACCAAAAAGCATTTCATGGACGGATCACACGTAAAAAGCCACTAACAAAGAAAACACATAAAAAAGCTCGTTTAGTATTCAAAGATTTTTGATCAGTCAAACATTTATTCGTATATAGTTATTTGATCAGGCGAAATAAAAATTGAACTTTTAGAACGTTAACAACAATGTTACATTTAGAGGAGAAAAAAAAAGAACTTGTCCCGCGATTTTAAAACATCATCATAACAGTGAAGTACCATGGAAGGCACATCATGGTATTTCTTTTAAGCGAACTCACCAAGAGAAGTGAATTTTACACTCAGATTTTACACATAGCTAACGGATAAAAGCGATTAATCTTTCCTAAACAAATGATCCAAAACATATTTTGAAAGCCATTACATAATGGGAGTGGCGATGGTGGGTAGCCGATTCCATCAAAGAAACATTCGTTATTATTTAACTGAAAAGTTCGTCTAATTGTCGGTTTGGATTTATAAAATCTTTTTCTTTAAATCTTTTTCTTTCAGGAAATCATAACCACTGAAATCTACTAAATGTCATCGCCCTTTCCTTGCTAAGTCTCATGGAAAGTCAACATTTTAATTAAATTATTATTTCCTCTTTAGTTACAAGTGGTACCCATTTTTGCTGTGACTGTTTGATTGATTCATTTTCTACGGCTTATCAACCCTTTGCAGGTTATTTAAAGCCAGCACATATTTTTAGATTGTAAAATTTTTTTGAGATAATGATGTTTTAGTGATTGATCAATTGCTGGGACGGGGGATAGGCTATTTTTTTCATACCTTCCCTAAGTGAATTTTTCCCGTAAGAGAACTCGGCTCTCTGATTAACAATACTGAGTTATTATTAATTACACTACCTTCTCAACAAAGCTTGCAGCACCTAGCATTCGCAAGTGGTGTCCCATCAAGGTTCTGACAAGGCTCGACATTGCTTAACTTCGGTGATTTTACGGAAAACGGTGTTTCAATGTAATGTTGCCGCTGTTGGGAGTATCCAAGTTATGTCCTTTTTCTTGCTAATGCTTTTGTGGGTTTTATAGCGCCATTTTATAGGTTCTGACGACGGATTTTCGACTTTAACATTTAAAGGATTTATTCGTTTGAACCCATTTTTAATCATCGATCCAAAAATTTAGGCTAATCGAGTGACCTTTTCAATCGTTTGGCGTGAATAGAATTTAACAATTGTGGCATGAATTGAAAATTATTTTTCATTAACGGAAGCCGTCGAATCTGAATGATTTGTAAAATTTCGGCATACAAAAATCAGTGGCAAAGGATACACAACTAAATAATATTTGAGGTCGCCCAATGTTTATTATAATAAAGTACTGATAATTATGGAAATTAATTAATGGTGGTTGGAATGTCGAACTGAACCCTTTATTTCGTTCACTGGGGTAGACTGTTCTAGTTCCACATTTAATGGATGTTAGTTATCAGTTATCTCCTGTTAATTTCCCTCTGAACGTTCTCCACTGCCTTAACCGGGTATTGAACTCACAGTCTTTGGGTCCTCTCACTGGATCTAACTAACGCATTTATCCACTGTGCCACGTGTCCTTGATGACAGCGGCCGAAACGTTGTAATAAATATGGCGACAAAGATGGGGACAATAGTCCGAATAATGTAGTGTACATAATACCTCTTCTCAGAAATATAGACAAATACTGAAAGGCCGAAACGTTGTAATAAATATGGCGACAAAGATGAGGACAATAGTCCGAATAATGTAAATAGTGTACATAATACCTCATCCCAGAAATATAGTTAGATACTGAAAGGCCGAAACATTGTAATAAATATGGCGACAAAGATGAGGACAATAGTCCGAATAATGTAAATAGTGTACATAATACCTCATCTCAGAAATATAGATAGACTCTGAATTACCTCTTGTTTATTGTCACTTTATTGCTTTCTTAACACTAATCGAGACTCTTTTTCAGTACTCTTTTCTTTAGAAGAAAAAAGAGCTTATCAACAATAAACTGCCTTTTCAATACGCTTTACACAATTAGAAACTCCTTTTCCAGTACTTTTGCCTTTGGTTCTAAAGCAAATTCTAAAACCTTTGAATAATTCTGTTATTTTCGTTTAAGTGAATAGAACGAATTTGGTTGGAATTGAAACTCGGGTTTTCAGTTTCCAGTTCCAAGCCTTCATCCATTACAACACCCACACATTTAAGCTTACAACATCTGATATTCCCAAGTAGTCACTCCTCGAGGTACTAGACAGGCTTGATGTTGTTTAACTTCAGTGATCGTACGAGAATCAGTGTTTCAACGTAATATGATCGTAAGCCTTGATTATATAGAAGAGGTGGATTAATGTTTTCACAAACTATTTTAGCCGGAATTTGAACTTGCATGAGTGATTCTACTGTCCATACAGTTAACCACCTCGACACTAATTCTTACATCGATGTTAAGAAAAACTAGTTCATTGTCTCCTGGGATTATGTCGATATGTTGATAATTATGGAAGAATTATTTCTTTTTTTATTGTAACTTCATTGCTTTCTTAACACTAATTGAGGGATTTTTTTAATAGTCTTTTCTTTAGAAGTAAAAGAGAAACTTTTTTTCAGTACTCGTCGAATTTGAATGATTTGGAAAATTTCGGCATACGAAAATCAGTGGCCAAGGAGACACAACTAAATAATATTTGAGGCCGCTCAATGTTTATTATAATAAAGTACTGATAATTATGGAAATTAATAATATGAATTATCTCTTGTTTGTTGTTACTTCATTGCTTTCTTAACACTAATCCAGAGACTCTTTTTCAATACTCTTTTCTTTAGAAGAAAAAAGAGTTTCTCAACAAGAAACTCTTTTTTCAAATTCTTTACACAATTAGAAACTCCTTTTCAGTACTCCTTTCTTTGGTTCTAAAGCAAATTCTACAACCTTTGAATAATTCTTGTCTTTTATTTTATTGTTTTTTTTTATTATCTCACTCCAAGAAGGCTATAAAGTAACTAAGACGCAATCATTATTCGAGAGAGGACAATAAAAGACCAGGACTTACGGAGACAGAGGATGACGATTGACATTTCATTTCAATTTATGATATTTATTCGACGAAATTCCAGTGAATTTTCTTTCCCATCAAGACATGACTGTCAAGAATTAGAAGAATAATGTATATTTGTCTCTTTTACAACACAAACAAATATCTCAGAAAACATCATTCTTTTCACTTTATCTTGACCAATTCTTAAAATAGAATCACATCCTCATACGGTAATCTGATGACGTGACGTTACGTGGCGGCACTCATCTCCTCTCCAAGTAGAAGGTGATCCAAAGTTAATATACATATTCAAGTGAGTCCAGTAAGAAAATTCGGTAGAAAACTTTAATCTCAAAATAAATTATATGTAACATAAGGCCGGAAGTATGGGTCACTCAGTGAGGATCGAATTTACTATTCCGTCGTAATGGAGCTAGCGAGACAAGCTTGCAAATCATAACACCACGTCAAAGTAGCCAAACATGTATTTGATATGAGTGAGAAAGTGAAGGGTAATATGTTTCTTTGAAAAACTTGTAAAGGTTAGCTGTTTTTTTTTCATTGATTCACCTTGCATCGGCCATGTCTTTGTTGAAGAGGGATATTTTCGTGTCTTCGATGGACACATATGGTTATGTGATAGATTCTAGTTGGCTGACTAATTTTGTTTAGTGGCATATCAACACCTTTATGGCCTTTTTAATACCGAAATCTAAACATCTCGTACATAATTTGATACTTTCAGAGTGAATGTATGTTTTTTTTTTAGATATATAGTTTGTAGATCGTAAAATGTATTGTTGGTAAATTTTATATATTGCTGGTAATTTCACAACAAAAATGTATTGCAGGTAATTTTATTATAAATACGCTCATATTTCTAAGCTAGCTTAGATGTGGCACAAGGCCGCAATTACGGGGCACCTAGTGAGGACCGAACTCACTACTCAGGCGTAATTAGTTCTCGCTAACGAAGCTTGCTAATATGTTACACAACACCAGAATGCCCAATTTGACAATAAATACGTATTGTTAGTATTTTTTATATAAATATGTGACCCAGCGGATAAAGACGTTGGTTAGATCCAGTTACTAGGCCCAAAGAGTTGTGAGTTCAATACCAGGCCACAGCAGTGGTGAACCAAAAACATGGAGAGTTGAGTTAAAGGCAAATAACTGAGACATCCGGAAGAGACATGGCACGTGGAACTAGAACAATCTACCCCGATGTACGAAATAAAGGTTTCGGTTCAAAATTCCAATCACCTGGAGCAGGCTGGGGCGTACAACGGCCGAAACGTTGTAAATATGAAATATGAGGATAACAGTCCGAATAATGCAAATATGTAAAAAAATAAAAATGTATTTTTATAGAGGTCTGTTTTTTTTTAAGGGGGGGGGTAACTATATACCCATAGCTGGGATCGCAACAGGCGCTACCACTCCGAGTCAGAGTAGACATGGGAACAACAGCAGTTAAGAGGTGATTCCATGTTCTTCAAAAACTGCAATCTCCCGATCAGAGGCATTGCTGCTGGATGTAGTTTATCGTCATACCGAGGAGAAAATAGGTTTTAGTGGAGATATTATTGCGGCCACCTGATGTTTCTTTTTTTAAAAAAAAACAGGCTATAATATGAAGATAATACAGGGAAGTATCCTGGAGGGGAAAAGAGACACGTATTGACACTACGGCATCCTGAAAAGAGATAAAAGAGAGAGGATATATGTCCTTTACTTTTATACAGCTTTGTACAATACACTGCCATCTCCCTCCAGCTATGGGCAAAATAGTTGAATTTGTATCTGGAAAAATTGTTGTTCTTCTCAACAAGTTGTTAATACAATATTCAGTCGCAAAAAAGTGTTATTCAGATAATCCCAAAAAATGATTCGGCTTAAAAGGTTGATAAGCCGGAAAAACAAGTCAATAGGAAAGAGATTTATAAAGAGCTACCAGGTGTTAAGTGATGTTATCTGGTAGATATGGTGGGTTAATACGACATAGACAACAGGCTCATTGGGTTTGAAACCTCACATCAACGGCATTATTATATTGATTGATTTTTACGGTATATAAACCTTTTTCAGGTTAATTAAAGATTATAAAGATTTTATGGATTTTTCGGAGTTAATGATTTTTACTGATACAAGATTGTACTAATTAATCCATAGCTGGTGCATTCATACCTTTCCCGAAGGTTACTTTCGCTTAAGGAGAACGAATCTGGTTGAAATTAAAACTCGGGTTTTCGGTTTCTAAATTCCGAGCCCACATCCATTACACCACCCGCACATCTAAACTTGCAGCACCTAGTATCCCAAGTGGTCATTCCTCGAGGTACTAGACAGGCTCGATGTTGCTTAACTTCGGTGATCGTAAGGGAATCAAAATTTCAACGTAATAGGATCGCAAGCCTTGATTATATAGAAGAGGTGGATTAACATTTTCACAAACTACCTTAGCCGGAATTAGAACTCGCTTCGAAAATTTCACTATCCATACAGTTAGCTACCTCGACACTGATTCTTACATTGATGTTAAAAAAATAGTCCATCGTCGTCTCGGATGATGTCGGTATGTTGATTAGAAAACAAAAGATGTCTTCATTATCGCCGGCGTTATATCATTCTCAGAAGGTTTCAATAAATATGTATTGCATCCTTTTTGTTAATTCACCCCAAATAATGTAAAGTTACTTATCGCAGATATTAATTTCCACCAAGAAATTATAAATTTTAAATCAAAATTTGTTTGTTTTTTTTTTTTATTAAATTTTTGGCACTCTTTTGAAATTATAAATTTTAAATGAAAATGAAAAATTATCACATCACATTTTGTATGTGGGGATGATATTCGAATTATTTACGAGGAACATTTTAGAATTTACAAAAAATTAAAAAAAAATGTTTTTGACTTGTTCATTGCGGTGTACTCGAATGTAGACCCCACACTTAGAAATAGCGTACTAACGAATTAATCTACCAAATCCACTAACGAATTAGTCTACCAAATCCACTAACGAATTAATCTACCAAATACACTAATTAGTCTACCAAATTCACTAACGAATTAGTCTACTAAATACACTAACTAATTAGTCTACCAAATGCACTAACGAATTAGTCTATCAAATGCACTAACGAAATAGTCTACCAAATACACTCACTAATTAGTCTAGCAAATACACTAACGTATTAGTCTACCAAATACACTAATTAGTCTGCCAAATGCACTAACGAATTTGTCTATCAAATGCATTCTTCTGTTAGTAAATACCTCAGATGTATTTACTACTTTTACGTCGACTGATTCGCAATCATATTGTGAGCGTCAAAGTTTCTTTTTACTATTATTTATCGTTCTTTTAGCAAAAGCAGAAAATCATGATTTACTGTTTACGTCTGATGGTCGATGCTCTAAGCATATTTATTTCCGGTATTCAGAGTCTGTTGTAAATGTTATGTCTTCTGTACTCAAGAAATCATTCACCTTTTACTTTCATTATTTGCTCGTGGGGTAATTGATAACGGCTCGAAAAGAGAAATTAGAGACCCGAGTTCGAATCCCAGTCGGTTTCGTTACAATCACTTACACACAAATACCCTTGAAAAAGGCATGAATCCATCTCCTCTCTCCAGCTAATAATGTGACTTATATTTGGAAAATCATTGCTCTCCTGAAAATTGCAATATTTACTCATAGAAAGAAAAGATCGAAGAAAAATTATTATTTGGCACTTACCGCAATATCGTTATGCTATTTACGGCGAATTTGTCTACCTCTGTTTGTTCATCTTTATCTCTCTCGTTTCATTATCGCTCTCTCTCTCTGTATTTTTGCATATTTGCAAGTGCAAATTAGAACTATAAAAATCATCAAAGCGAGTTTCAATTTTGGAAAGGTATCTCTAATATCTAACAAGGAAACGAATATAATCCTATGCACACTCAGTCTTATCGCCAGTCATCTTGGTAAAAGTTCTGTGACTCTGGTAACCAGAGAAGATCTATACTTGTTGTTACATGCATCAGTTTTTCTGCAATTAACATTTATCGTCAATTAGACAGATAGCAGATAAGAGTTCATGCAACAAATATTTATATATATATGTATAAAACGAAGGTGTTATCAATAGACAAATAAACGCTTACACACGCACACAGAGCTCTATAGAAACTCCTGCTAAAATATATAAAAAAACAGTCCCTGTTTTTGAAAGAAATTGTTAACGTGTTTTACAAACAATTGTATCTTCACCTAGCAACCGTCGTTCGCAAAATATTGGTACAGAATCTGCCATCGACACAACATAAATTGATATTCAGATGTACAGCAAGGAAGTATCGACACATTGGTGGACGTCAATCAAACCTTTTTACCCACTGCATCGAATAAGTGTCCTGACATCTTATCTAAACTACAATTTTTACATTCTTATGAACACACACACATAAAATTGAATGAGAAGAATAAAGAGTCTTTTATATGGTTGGTGAGTGGGTACGGATAATGAAGTTGGCGCACTCACTTGTCAGTATTGATCGTGTTGTGTGGAGAAAACTTGATAAGGAGATTCTCGTATCCAATGTGTTTCAGATATCGAAGTTAATGTCTTCATTGTCTGACATTCTCGATAGAGGCTGACAGCTGCCACTTCTTGCCCAGAGGTGACCCGTAACTGCGAAAGGCTCAGATATTCATATTCTTATTTCACACACACACACACATACACACAAACACACACACACATGCACACACACACACACATATATATATATATATAATATATATATGAGTTAGGGAGAGAGTGGAATCTCTAGACAGAATAAGAAGAAGGAGGGGGTAAGACGTTAAACTACATCCACGTCCTGGGTAAGACGATAAACTACATCCAGCAGCAAGGCCTCTGATCAGGAGGTTTGGGGGAACGTGGAACCACCTCTTAATTGCTGGTGTTCCCAGGTCCACCCTGACCCGGGTCGGTAGCACCTGTTAGGGTCCCAGCTATGAGCAAATAGTTAACTATTACCAGCAATACTTTTTTGAAAAAAATATTACCAACAATACTTTTTTGAAAAAAATATTACCAGCAATACAATTTTGAAGGGAAAATATTACCAGAAACAGATTTTTGACAAAACAAAATATTACCACCAATAAAAAATATCGTCGGCATTAAATAACCAATTGAGGTTGATATGCCGTAAAACAAAATAAACCAATCTAAACCAAAGAATACATATTATATTCATACGAATCTATCCTAAAAATGTTGTCGGCATTAAATAATCATTGTGGTTGATATGCCGTAAAACAAAATAAACCAAACCAATCTAAACCAAAGAATGCATATTCTATTCATACGAATCTATCCTAAAAATCTCGTCAGCATTAAATAACCCATTGAGGTTGATATGCCGTAAAACAAAATAAACGAAACCAAACCAAACGATTCGTGACATGTTTTTGAGTAAGATATTCTAATATTGAATAAGACTCGGTGTTTTAAGAAGAGAATTAATAAGAAAATAAAGAATAAAAAGAAAGGGAACCAAACCAAACATTCGGAATGAGGAAGAGAAGAAGAAAAGGAAAAGACAGAAGGGCAGGAGAAGGAAAGAAGAAAGTAAAAAGTGAAGAAAGATAGAGCGAGAGGGGACTAGAAAGGAAAAAAGAGAAGATGAAAGGGAGAGAGATAGAATGAGAAGGGCAAAGGGAGAGTGAGAGAGAAAGAGCAGAAGAAAGAAGAAGAGAGAGAGAGTGAGAGATATGAGAGGATAAAGAGCAAGAAAAGAGAAGGAAGATTAAAAAGAAATAAAGGAAAAGACGAAGAAACAGAAATAGAAAATAATGGTAATTTTAACATTTGACAAAAGAAAAAAAATATAAGAACGAAATGACTGTTATTAAAGAAAATGCATTGAAACTATTATTACTACTACTTTTTGTTCTCCTCTTCTGACTACTACTACTACTACTACAATAATAATAATAATAACTAGGCAAATCCCCGTCTTACGAACATTTCACTTAATAATTTAAGAATAATTCAGAAGTTGATGCGATTTTATTTACGGTAAGTGAATTTCTGGAGGTTTCCTTGCGCTGTTTTTGCCATTCGATACTGTGTGTCTGAAAAATACCTCAGTTGTCTTCACTTCTCGGTCTTTTGGCTGTCATAAAAGTGCAGTATCTGCCCTCGGGCTGATAAAATAAATTTCTTTTATCAATTGTGTCTGTCTTCGGACAGAGCACAACTGAAAAAAAATATTGAGAGGTTCCCCCTCATTGCACTAAAGAGGGAGATAGTAATAGCGATGCCAGTGTAACTGACGGTTGCAGACTATTTTTAATCTTGCCAGCTCGGATCCATACATTAAATTGTGTCGCATCCTGTCAGCGTGAGGCGACAGGAAAATGCTATCGCTTCTTGACCTTTTGGCTAACATCAAAGTGAAGTATCTGTTCTTATGAGCTTAATCTGATTATCTCTCCTCACTATCTTCCATTCTTTCTTTCATTTTCTCACCAACTCCAGATTCTTTACCTCTTTTTCCACGCAATCAAAACGGATTAGTCTATGATTTATGAGTTATTGGCAGGGCGTAACGGTCGTGCGAACTAACAAAGAGACAAGCACAATTATAATCGGATATTAACGCAGAAATAATCGCAGATAAATAAGTAATCAGTAGTCCTGATTAGTGCTTTGTTAGTGGTGTAGACCAGCCTGTCTCGCTTCCTGGAGAAAGGGGAGCGAGAACTTACATCGAAACACATTTTTTTATTAAGTCGGGAAGTGACCGTGGAATACGGTTATTGTGGGTAGGATTGTTCTTCGCTTTGGCCCAGGAGCTTTTATCTTTTGTTTTGCTTATGCAAATATCTGGTTTCAGAAAAAAAAGTTAGCTCATTGACTTGTCGTTAAGAATGACAGTGTTAATGTTAACGAGGCAATAAGCAGATGATACTTTTCGCGGATCTAAGGAATATTTTTATTTTATTTTATTTATTAAACCTTTCCTTCTACTACAAGTTTTTAATATTTTGTTGGGATTTCTTCCGATGCGCTTTAGATGAAATTAATCTGTAATGCTCAAAATTTGTTTATTTGAGTGTCAGCTTGAAACCACTCAACACGTGGGGGTAAAGAAAATTTAAGTCTTGATTTAAGACGTGATACGACGCCGCACCAACCTAACAAAAGCATCTACAGTTGCTGTCTTAGACTACGCAGCCATATTGTCCAGCATCGTCGAATGTTTTGTTTGGTATTATATTTGAAAGAAGTGGTTGTAAAAAATATAAAATTTAAAGAGAGAAAAACAAAAATCATTTGCATCAAATGTTGGATGGATAAAATAATTAAATAGTTATAAATATCAGAGAAAATATCTTTGGAAACTGAAGC